TGTTTTTTCCATTTACTGGTGCACCCTGTCCCCTGGACATCAAATTAAAAAGAAACAGAGAGATGCACTTGTTAGCTTACTCCTTTCTGCCTGTGGACACTGCTGGGAAAGCATCATTGAAGTTTCTCATCCCTCTGCTGTCATATCTAAGTCAAAGTCTCCTGAAGAGACAGAACAGCTGTAGAAGCTCTTCATCAGAGGGTTGAGCTTGAAACAACAGACAAGAGCCTAAGGAGCCTTTGAGTACTGGGGGATACTCACAGACTTTGTAGTAATGTGAGATAGAACACCAGGTCCAGGGGCTTTGGATTTGTCACATATGCTACTGCAGAGAAGGTGGATACATGGCTTGATCAAAGGGGAAAAGTGAAGAGTGAGACAAAGAGACAGAGTAACAGTGGACATAGATAGCCTGAGACTAGGTAGCCCAAACAACTTGTGCTGCTTAATACTGCAAGGTAACTCTACATATGTGTATTTCATGACATTCCATAGATATGTTGATGTGTTACAGACAATAAGAAGCAGGTAAAAAAATCTATAAAGTCCTAGACATACTGGGCATGGTGTATCCCTTCTTGATAATCCCATCAAGAGGAAATTCCATTATCTTCTTTTCTAATGGAGAGAAGCCTAACTACAGTTTGGGAAAGAAACATAAGGCTAAAGAATCTCTCCATAAGGCAGGCGCCACCACACCCAGAAAAGGCTAAAGAATCTCACAGAGACAGAGCAGGGATTGGACTTTACTAGTTGGGGGGTCAAAATGTTTCCTTAATTCCATCATATGTGTCTGTTGGAACGTCCCAAGCAATTTCCACCATTTGTTCTGCCTGTAGGGAGGGTCAAAGAGAGGACAATTTGCAAGGTTCTGCCAAAGCCCAAAGGGACAGGTGGTATTTGGTCAGAGCATGTCCCCACACCTCACTCAGGGCCTCTCTCCAAACATGTCCTTACCCCTGTATATTCACTATTTTTGCTGGTGACAAAGAAAAAGATATACACCTGTGTCCCTGCCTCCTACAAATTGATCATTGATAGACTTAAATTAAAACAACATGAACTTGCCTACCTATCCACGAAGTTAAAGATTTATTTCAGTAAACTTACCGCTGTTTTAATAAGGTGTCCACTCAACTCTGAAAAATATCTTTGTTGGTAATTTTTTTTTTTGGACAGGTTTTTGCCATAGGGTGCATGTGATCGCCAGACAGACAGAGAGAGACAGAGACAGAAAGCGAGAAATCACCCCCCAGGGGGGATGGCCACGCCCCAATCCGTTCTCCACCATTCTCCTCCCTGGATCTTAGGCACGCATTCACACGCACCCGGCGTGAGTTTAAGTCACCAGGTCCAGGACTCGAACCGCGGTCGACTACGTGGGAGTCCAGCGACATGGCTGAATTATTAGTAGAAAGTCTTCATTCCCTTAAAAATCTAGTTCACAGTAGCCATGTGGAACCTTGTTCTGAAGGCCCGCGGCTTCTTCTACACTGCACATCTTGAATATTGTACTCTCTCTGATTAAGGTCTACGTGACAGCATAGAGGGACTTTTCATCTATTGAGCTAAGAGACTGACAGGAGTAAGAGCTCAGGAGAGTGGGATGAGTATAGTTTAGCAGAGAAATGCTTAGGAGGCCAATGGCTATAGGAGACTGAAGTTCAGGAGTATTTGGACTTGACGTGACTCTTGAGAAAATGTAAAAATTATTAAGTCACTACCAGAGCCTATCAAGTAACTTAAGGCTTAGAAAAGAACCCAAATATTGCAAAGCAAACATGGTACATAATGCAAATTTAAACCATGTGTTAGAAATCTCATGTGTAGAGAGCCAATAAAACCAGTGGAGAATGAATAGATATTTACTTGTTGTAAAATGTGGCTAGTTCATTCTGAATGTTCTTCATAGACAGTGATGAATCAGTGGTGCTGTCTGATGACAACCAGGGTAGCTACTTGGCACATCGTAGTTCTACCGATGTGAGGGTTTGTTACAGGGATTGCAGCAGTGGTGCTGAGAAGAGTGACGTTAGGCAGTAGCACCATTATGATGGACAAATAGAAGATCTGATCAAGCTCTGGGTCAAATGAGAGATGTCATGCTTGTGTGGGGGTCTGGAATCATGGACTGTGTTTGTGGATCTTATAGGAGTTACCCACCTGTGAGACGATGCACCTTCAGTTTTCTTCTGGGGATAGAAAAGCTTGCCTTAAAGCAACTGTGAATTATCTAGATACTTTGTTTTTTCTTTACACAGGGTCTGTGCTTTTGCCAGAGAGTGACAGAAGAAAAGAGAGAGGGAGAAAAAAAAACTCTAAAGGAGCATAGTCTTTCCCCAGTCCCTTTACCTGCATTTCTCCAACTGGTTGGGAATTTGTCTACTTGTTCACATGCACAGGTCATGTGTTAAAGTCCCCAGGGATTAGATTTAGAATAATGGTCTGCCATAGGATATCTGCCTCTTATAATCCCTTGGCTACAAGACCAGTTTTATCCTGATCTTTGAGGAATTAAGAGATAAAGCTAAAACTACACCTGGGTTTGTTTTATCTTACTCGCCATTTCGCTGGATCTCTTGATTCTGCTTCTCTTGAAAGACAATTGGTTGGGCATCAGGAAACATCTGAGGCCTTAGAATTGCCGATCAGCTCATACTTTGAATTTTCATTATATGAATTTGCACAGAGTGGCAAGAAATGGTGCAAACCTATGCAAAATGAGGCATTTTTTTTTTTCTTGTCGAGACCTATATATTCCCTTTGATAATTGAAAAACAAAAAGGTCAGTTGATAGGGTGATTGATTTCTCTGTTTCATCTCTGATGATATTTCAATTCTTCTTCTCTTTTTTTTCTTTTTTTGAGAGGTTTTTGCTATAGGGCACATGTGCTTGCCAGAAAGACAGAGTGCAGAGTGAGACAGAGACAAAAGTGAGAAATCACCCCCCCAGGGGGTTGGTCACGCTGCAGTCCTTTCTCCTTCATTCCCCTCTTGGGATCTTGGGCATGCACGCACACATGCCTGGTGTGAGTTTAAGCCACTAGGACCAGGACTTGAACCGCTATCGACTACATGGAAGTCCAGTGACATAACCATTACGCTAACTGCTGGTCCCAGTAATTCAATTATTGAAAGGGGTCAAATTTTGTACAAAAATTGGCGTCTTCATATATTGATAGGAGACTAATGAGGTAAAGACAATGTGTTTGCTCATCTTAGAAGTCATTTTAAATAGGAATTGACACCAACATTGCTGACTTCCATATGTGGATCCCCTGTTTCCAGTAATATTCTCATTTAGATTTTGCTTGTATTCCATTGTACTGTCCTTGACATGTATAAGGTTATTATCTATACAGGACTATACTTTTTTAAAAATAATTTTTAATTTAATTTTCTTTTATACATTCAATCATGTTATTTAGCTTACTTTGAATGGACACTATTTAGAAAAAAAATGGAATCCTGACATGATATTATCTTGGTGTTGAAAAGGTAGGAGTTTATATTTGACAGGTGGTCGGGGTCCTGGCAGTACTAGATGCCCTTAACCCAGTCACCAATTGAGATTTTTCACTCCAGTTCAGTCCCTATGCAGGACAATGTTTCCTGTCAGCTTTATTCCTAATGTGGAACTTTACTGGTCCCCAACCAAGGACTATGGGTTTTACTAGGATTCACCTCAATGGGCAGATCTGGAACTCCACTTGTTTTTTTTTCTAGTTGACATTTGTGTACATGTGTGCAAAAACTGCTCAGCCTCTGTGTAACTCTAGAGTATCCATCCAAAATTCATTGATGAAACAAGGGAAAATCTGCCCAAATGCCAGGCTAGTCTGAATCCTGGGTTTCCTTCTAGTCTTGTGTTTCTCCACTGGCTTCATAGCAATTCATGCTTTTGATTATGGGTTCCATCCACTGTCCACTATTTATTCTTGTTCTAAGGGGAGATCTGGGACTGTATTTGCTCTTATTAGGCCATCATCATTTATTGCATTCACTATCAATGAAGTCAGTCTTGTTAACATAAATCCATACTGAGCTTATGGTTTTCCAGCTGAAATCTACTTCAGGGTCTAACATCCTTTTTATGGAGCAACTTGGATCTCTTTTTATGTCTGTACAGTTGCCAACACTAAAGATTCTCCTCTTCCCTCAACCAGGATCCTTGAAGGAGGTGGCAGGAATTTTGTCCTGAAATGTAGAAATTTCAGAGGGTGAAGTGCAGGGTTAATGACACTATGTCTTACCATGACCTCTGTAATGCTGACTCTCCGTGAGGTTCTTTGTGAGGCACCAGCCTTTACTGAGGGGAGCTCTCCCCACAGCAGGAGACATACTGCTTCCTCATTCCCTGCTCCATCCTGTTCAGTAGTTGTGCAGAACTTGGTGGCCTGCTTTCCCACATTGAGCTAAAATGAACATTGAGTGTCTCAACCAAAAGACTGACCAAGAAAAACACCTAGTGCCTCCCATTGATGCTTTTATCTTATCTGACTTATATAGTAATGAAGAAAGCATAAGTGCCAATGTCTCACTTGTAAGCCAGAGTATGATTTTTCTTTCTTTAAAAAAATTTAATTTACACTTAATTACATATATCTTTACAGTGTAGAATATTATTTTTCCAGCACAAATGCCATGTATATCAGTCAAGATAGACCTTACTATATACATTGTCATCAGCTAATTGTTTTTCTTTTTTTTTGGTCAATTACTTTTTTTTTAAGAATTTGAATATTCTTCATCTCTCCTGGGTGCCTTTGATTCTTCCCTCCCACTGTGTTTGTCATTCTGTGCATTTGCAGGGGAGGGTGGGAGGGAACCTTTGAATCAAGGCCTTGAGACTGCTAGGAGGTAAGAAGGGCAAAATTTCATTTGGGCTACTGAATAATGTGTGTTTCTTTCCCATTTTAGGAAGCTGTTAATGAGGAAATTTGAGTAGATATAGATTGAAAGGAGGTTTCAAAGGCAGAGGAAAAAGTCAAGTTGACTACTCAAGTTGACTACTGAAAAAATACATAATTTAAAGTGAGTTCTGACAGCGAACATCAATGTCTAGAGAAGCCTGTTTTGGATTTTCTTGGTTTCTAATATTAGTATAGTGTATATTTAGGATAAATTAACACAGAAATATAAAAACGTTGTCAGAAGATATATGTATTTTTTGTGTTTATATATATATATATGCACACACTATATATATGTGTGCATATATATATATATGTGTGTATATGTGTATATATATATATATATATATACATGGAGAGAGAGAGGGAGAGAGCACTCTACCAGAAGAAAAAGCAAAATACAAATAATGCTGAGCTAGTGAAAATTTCCTGAGCCCCAGAGTTAGTTTGGTTATGTGTACATTTGGTTTACGTAAACATGTCTGGGGGTATTGAAAACAGTAATAATTCTTATAAATTATGCAATTTCATGTCAGCTAAACCACATACACAAAAACGATTTTGTTACTTTATAAGAACAATTGTCACTGCCTTGAGACATATGGTAAAAACTTAAGTATAAGAAGAATGATATTGATGGTCAACGATACCTAACAGAGGAAAAAGTAGAGAAAAATTGAGATGAGTAAGGAAATTATATAAGCTGAGAACTCTGCAGGATTCCATAATGGATAAGGAAACTGTTTTTAGCTTGGGTTCTACTGTACTCTTATTCATGGAAACTATGCTTTCAATGTGTGGATAAAATGTGTAAGGATACAGTTGTGAGGATTACAGGAACATAGAACATTATTGAAAATGATATTCAATGTTGTGCTATGTCTGATGAAAGTAATTCTAAATCATAGCAAAAGAGTTGGAGAAATTGAAGAAGAGCAGAGAAAAGAGACCATCTTTCTAAACCAGGTAACCTATGTTCTGCTCGACAGTTGCCAAATCCTTGACTCCATCACAGAGATGAGGATAATGGCCCTTAGAAGGTCTAAACATATTGGCTCTAGCAGTTCTAAACATATTGGGTCAGCAGGCAGCATGGTGGTTAAGGGCACTGAACTCCCACGTGGCCCACTGTGGTTTGAGTCCCGGACCTGGCAGCTTGGTTTCTTACTCTCTGTTTCTGTCTCTCTTGCTCTGTCTCTCTCTGGTCAAATTCAAATAAATAAATAATTGTCCTGGACCTGGCAGCTTGGTTTCTTACTCTCTGTTTCTGTCTCTCTTGCTCTGTCTCTCTCTGGTCAAATTCAAATAAATAAATAATTAAAGTTAAATAAAATAATTCTTAAAAAAAGAAATTCTAAACATATTTTTTTTGATGTTTTCAATTTAGTTTAGTTTAGTTTTGTTTTGTTTTCAGAAGACTTTTCTTTCTTCTGTGCCCAGTTGACCCTGACTCCACACAAACATGTTTTTGTTTTCTAGCTCAGGTTTGTTTTGGAGCAGGAAATGGTGAAGAACTCCAAGGAGGCCATCTACCTGAAAGAGAGGTATGAAACTGGGATATTTATTTTTAAGTTTTTTTTTATTTCTTCAGGGAGAAAGAGACAGACAGACAGAGAAGAAAGAGATACACTCTCTAACATGGTTTTGCAACTACCTACCCTCACACTAAATCAGACAGGACATGGGCATATGTGTGTCTGCTATGTAGAGGGAGATCTTGGGGTGTGAACTTGGGACATTGCTATATGACTTTACCATCATAAAGAATTGGGTTGCTGCTGTTCCTCTGTAGGTGGCCTGTCATAGATATTTTTAATGGTCTTCTTGATGATTTAAGATATAGTTGCTGAGGACTAGTTAAGAATTTGGTGTTATAATTCTTTTTTTTCCTTTATTTTTAAAAAAGTTTTTGCTATAGGGACATGTGCTTACCAGAGACAGGAATGTGAGAAATCATCCCTCAGGGGGATGGCCAGGATGAAATCCCTTCTCTTCCATTCTCTTCATGTGATTTTGGTTCTTTATCAGCAAGGTTGTCAATAATGCAGTATCAGGATACCAGGGGAACATGGACTGTAGAACCTAGCACAGGGAGCAACTAGCATGGTCATCCTTCCACAGAGAGGTAAGAGTACACTGAGAACACGGCAATCAGATTTTGCTGCAAAATTCACACACCCTGTATTTTGTTCTGGAATGACTGTAATACTGTTGACCCCAGTCAGATGGCTCTTTGTGATGATCCCCTGTGAATGTTGTCCAGCCACTTACTGTGGACATCATCATTCCCACTTCTTTTTATTTATTAATTTATTTTTTAATATTTATTGTAATTTATGATTATATAAAATCATTATACATCTCTGTAGGGGACCATATGGTTTTTTAAAGTATGTATATAGTGTGTAATAACTAAATTGAGAATATGAACATAATCACCACCTTCAACACATAACATTACATTGTGTCATTAACATTGGAAATTTGCAACTGGTTATTTTGCAAATATATATTGGATATATATGATGTTCTTTACTGTGAAATATAGTTCTAAAGAAAAACAGAATGATTAACAAATCAGACAACAAGTCTCATAAGTTGGTGAGGATAGATTTTTTTAAGAATAGAGAAGGACAGCATGAGAATGAATACAGAGACATGACATTTGTGGGACAAAGAAATGATTTATTACCTGTTGATGATAACATGTATAGTATTCTCTACTGGACTGTTCTAAGAAGTATTTCATGTTAATTAAATTCTCTTTACAAGTCAAATGATGTATAGTTATTGAATGTTTAAAAATAATGAGAATAAAAATAATAATATTCTGAATAAAATGAAAAGCTATTTGATGATGACATGGATAGTAATGTCTTTGTCTTGACTGATATGCACAGTAATCACGCTGGAAAAAGAAATGTTATATATTGTAGAGATGTATGTGATTAAATGAATGTAAAAAATTAAAAATTAATGAAAACAAAAGAAAAATATCTGTCTCAAAATCCCTGAATTTTTGGAGTCTTTAAATCCTCTTTCCTGTCTCGCATTGTCACAATCTGAACTGTTGCTCACCAGAGAAAGAGAGAAAGTACTCCTCAACAGGGCATGGTCATGCCCTAATTGTTTTCCCTCCATTTCTCCATCCTGTCAGGATTTGGGATATGTACTTATGCACACACACCCAATATGTTTCCCAAGTTTCCAAGACTAGGATTCAAACTGAGGTCAGCCATCTGGGATCTAGCCCACTATTCCTAGGACTTAACTGCTATATGAAGGGGCCAGTCCAACGGTGTAATCACAAAAATGTGATTATCCTTTGTCCAAGCAGGACAGAAGTAAAATAAAACTCTGCATAAAGGATGATCCACCAATGATTTTTTAAAATTAGTATAAACTCTTTTCTAATTTTAAGAGTTGGAATAAGTTCCTGTTGTATTGTAAAAGAAACTTGTAAATACCCAGGGAAACAGAAACAAATATTAAACAATAGGAAAAACATTCCCTCATTAGAAACATAACATGTATAATTTTTATATATTTAATCTTTTTTATATACAATAACTATTTTTAACTAACAGTGCGTATGAAATAAGGATTTTTTTTTTAAGATTTTTGTGTTAGGACTTATGTGTTCACAGGAGAGACAGAAAAACAGTGAGAGGGAAAGTGAGAAATCATCTCTGGGGGGATAGCAACACCACAAACCCTTCTCTATTCTCCTTTCAGGATTTTAGACATGCACACACCACATGAGATTCAAGCTGCTTGATACAGGACTTGAACCACAGTTGACAACGTGGGAGTTCAGTGCCTTAAATGATTATTATAAGCTCAAAATAATAAACTTTATTGATCTCATTTAAATTGTTCCTCAGGCTATTATTTTTCTTTTCCAAAATACAAGAAAGTTAATTTTTTCTACTATATTCCCTGGAATTTTATCTAGACACATTGAGTAGACAGAAACAGGAAGATATACAAATTACTCAGACAAGAGCAGGTTAATGGAGAGACCTGTCAATTTTAATCTGCAATGTTAAACAGGGTTTGATGTCTAGTTTCATTTTATTTTCCCCAAATCTTTGTAAGCAATTAGCTTCGAACACTTCACATCAAATACATTTTTCTTTCAAGGTGGATGAAAATTCTGTTGAGAAATATTCAGATTATAACCATGCTCAACATAAACAAATAAAAGGGGAAAAAAGTTCATAAAGTGTTGATAGTTTTTGTAATGTTTTCTTGTGAAGAAAAACAGCATGAAATACAGGTTGAGTAGGCACTCATTATCCCTGACTTTCTCTTTAAGATTTTCTAAAGTTGGATCTATCGCTTCTACACCTCTGTGGGAGTCTATCATAAATTACCCTACTGTCATATTGAAGCTCCTTTAAAAACACATGCAGGATATAAAACACGTTATTCTTTTCTATTCATGCCAAGTAATCTGAATGTATGATATAACACACACACACACTCACACACATACACACACACACATAAATGCCTGGACATGTTATATTTCATTAGCTCAATAATTTAAGTGTGGGGTCTGTGACTAAGTATAACATTTCTTATTTCCTCAATTGTATTTATTTATTTTTCTCATGAATAAAGATTCTTACTAAAATATATATCCTCAAATACGGCTTATTTTCTTTTCCAAGGTGACATTTCAACAATATCTGTTTTATGAAAACATTTTATATAAAGGTCTGGAATGGATTTGGAAAACTTCATACTATATTTTGCTGGCAAAGACTATATGCTATATATTTTTTAATAGCTGAAAGCATTTAATATCTAAACCAATTTGTTAATAGTAGTCACAAAATATACTCAATAAAGAAACCCACATTTATGTCTTTAAAAAAAATTGTAAATTGCATTTTACCTCAAAACATACATTAACCCACTTAAAGAATCTGTAACAGTCAAAATCATGGTGAATTTTAAACGACTTCAGAATAAAATAAGTACTTCATACTGTTTAATAGCTAAAAAATGCTTCAACTCCTCATTAAAATAGTCTGAGAAAACTATTTTTTATTTTATTCTTTAACAGATATGTTCAACATTATGAGCAGCATCCTTAAAACCTTAAGCTTCACAGACTTTCAGATATTCAAGTACTATGGTCCCCTTTGACACAGTTAATTCAGCAAGGAAAAAAAGCATGGTAGACAACTTAATACATTTTTACCAAATTGAAAGTACTACCAAAAACTTACCACAGAACTACACATCGTACCTAATGTATCATTAAAAATAGAAGACAGTATTTTCCTCAGCCAATAAAACAGCACATAGTATGCTGTTAATGCACACCTTTTAATGCGTATCCTCATTCATAAATTATTTACAACTTCTACTGTGTGAAGAATGTAAATTTTCTGCAAACTGGAAAAAACGCAATACAAAATTTGTGAAAGCCTGTTTTATACTGTACAAAAATAAACCATTTTTTTCTCTTCCAGATACTATATGCAATGGTATTTTGGACACATTATAGTAATTCTTGAGAATGTTTTAATGCTGGAGGTAAGTGTACAGGTCTTGATTCTTCATCAAGGAGTACTAGATCTTCTATTTCACTGCTTCTGTATTTCCTTTGACATATTCTTACCACCACCTTTTTCTTAAGAAATAACTTCAGTGCTTCGTTTGATGCAACAACTTTTGCATTTTCCTTGCTTTTTCTACAGTCCGTGCCCAAAGAAACAGACTTGCACCTCAATTCACAAACAATACTTTCTTGAGAGCTTTTATTTTGAGGCAAATCTGACAGTTCCTTTAGTGGGACAAGAAACACATCCAATGTTGCTTTCAGAGCCTCCATGGGTGCATTTAGGAGCTCTCCATGATTTACATTGGGACTAAAGCCAACAATGGCCACCAACTTCCATGCC